AATAATAATAATAATAATAATAATAATAATAATAATAATAATAATAAAAGTCCAATTGTAACTAGTAAATAACTTTTCCCTCACCCAACATTTTGCTGAGCTCGGCGTTGTGCAGGTCTGGGTTTTGAACGGCCAGCCGTTTGCGCTCGTCTTTGGCCCACACCATGAACGCGTTCATGGGCCGCCGGATCCGCGGCTCCGGAGCCTTGTCCCCTGGACTCCTGTGCGGGCCATGTCCGTCCGGCACGTCTCCGTCACTTTGAGGACACTCGAAGGACTCCGGCCACGACGAGTAGGCGCTGATGAGAGCAGCCATCTGCCGCGCGCTCTCTGCTCTCCAAACTAAAAAAAAAAAATGCGCAACTGACTCTCTTTTGGGTAACTTGTAGTCTTTTTTTTTGCTTTATGCGAGAAACTAAAATGACGACAATCAAAACAAAACAACCTAACTTTATAGGAGAAAATCCTGTTGCGCGTCCCTGACTGGCTACAGCTGGAGACGGGTGTGAGGACAGATTTTGGGAGAAAGCACAGATGCGCACACGCAGCGGCTCCTGCTTGTCGGTTATGATTCAGTCTTTCCTGGTGGTTAGGGGGAGCGCTTTATATTTGAGGAGCAGGTTCCAGAAGAAACCCCCGCAGGACTCCCGACTCCTCCTTGATAGCAAGTTGAGCCCATGACAGAGAAGAGAGAGAGCACAACATTTCAACACAACCAACTCTTTAAACTGGCCTCACAACAAAACAACACTTTCCTCTGACCTAATAACCATTGCACTTAGTAGGACGGCTCATGACATAGCACCACCTTATTATTCCTTTATTTTCATGGAAGACATGAAATTGGCAGGCTATTTACTCTCATTCTTGTTTGTATTCAAGGGTGAAAAGGAGATTTAGCTGTTTAAGATATTTGTTGTTGTTTTTTAACAAGGAAAACGTGCACGACTCACCTAACCAGTTCTGCAGTTGACTCACTGGCCAGAAAACTGCACTGGTTAAGTGACTTTCAGACATTCTTCATTTCCAGTGAAGGCTTAAGTGGTGTTTGCATGTCAACCAAAACACAATAACACGCCAAAGATTCTCTCCATCTCACAAGATCTAAACATTTTCTGACATTTTTTTTTTCTTTTTTCAAAGGACAGAAATATCGACATTTTCAGCCATTTGGGTCAGTTCCTGGAGCTGCTGAACTTGTGTTTTTTCACGAGGGGGAGTCAAACTGTTGAACACACACAAACAAATCAGTTTCCTTCTGTGGGCCAGAAGCGGGTGCACATCAAATCCAGGAGTTCCTGTTGACAGGATACTCTCAAGCTGCAGCCGCGGCTCACACTCCCTCACACTCCCTCACACTGCTCACACACAGCTACTGATCACAGGCCCCGTCTTATCTGCCCTATCCACGGAGGAGGGAGGCGGCGGGCGACAGACAGTAGGAATGTCAAGTGTTGGTTCACAGGTTAGGAGGAATTAAAGTTGTGATGCGCATCTTGTGGTGGGTTGCGCCCCCCCCCCCCCCAAACCGCTCAAAGTGAAGTGTCAGCTCTGGCTAACCCCGACACAGGAACAGGATACGACACCTGAAGCCGCAAATTGTGCGTGGTGCAGCCACATCCATGATATATAGGCCCGTGCTTCCTCTCGCTGTTTTGAGAGGGGCCGTGCTGATGTGTGGTCAGTGAAAGTCAGAAAAGCCAAGTGAGAGCTGGGGGGGGGGGGGGGGGGGGCACACGAGTCAGGTACAGTGCAGAGAGGCGATGCGTCACAACGAGTTCTCACAACACGTCTGCAATTGGGATTAGATTCCCAAACACCGGGGTTAGTATAGATAGGAGCATTTTAGAGTGACTCAATGTTCTGGGTGTTATCCGTGAGTGGGTGGGAGCCGTATTAGCCTGCTGTTGTTCACCCATACTGTGTTAAAGACATGTGGCTACCGGTGTCCAAAGAGGGGCTTTGCCTGCTGGAGGAGGAAGCTTAACCTTTGCAACAACTTTTGTCAGGCAAGCCTAGATAATGACAAGAATTCCCGCTGAAGTGTACATTTTTGCTGAATTTCTACAAGCTAAACTGAAATAGTTTACACAATTTAATTGAATCAATAATTGGTGTTTTTTGTGCATGAAAAAGAGGACAATTTCTTCCTTTTTAACAGTAAAAAAATTTAGTTTCCACCAGCAACACACTGAACTTAAAAGAGCCAGGGCTTGTTTCTCTAGAAGATCAAACAGATCACCTATTGAGCTTAGTTTATACTGAGGTACTGATTTGAAACATTCAGAGGGGAACACTCTGTTGTCCTAAATCACATCCTTGCTTTCACTGTTTGCATCACAGAGGAAGCAGTGTATCACAGATCAGAGCAGGCTCCAAAAAGACAAGTTTAATCCTGTAATTGTCCTAATCTTTCCATGCCACAAATCCTTCTGGGATTCAGGTGTTTTAAGGTATCCGAGGTATGAAAAGTTGAAAGATTAGAATTGTGTTGCTCTGATTTCACACAATTTCTGGTCCCAGTCAGCGATTGGTCAAAAAAAAAAAAAATCATATTTTGAAAACCGGAATGGCTATTACTGCAGAACCTTTAAAAGTTAAGAAATACTTACTCTAGATCATTTGTGGCTTTTAACCTGAGACAGAAAAATAGAGCTATTGGGAGGCGAGAGCTGACCAGGCCCACAGGATCAGTGCTGTCATCCCCACCTCCAAAAGATGCTCCGGATCAGGCTGCTATTTTTGCCAAAAGGATTGGAGAAAGAGCGTTGTAAAAGTCAGTAGAAAACGTTCCAGTGGTGCGAATTCAGTTAGATATTAGACTAAAATATGCAGAGACTGCAGGCAACCACCGGAACCCCGTATGAAAAATAAACATCCTTTCTAAAATAGAAGTGTGCCAGTGGTTCTATCATGCTGAGGGACAGCTGTGAACTCCCTTTGAGACATAACATGTATTACTTAGGGTGAAAACATTATGAAAGCGTGGTTGACAAAGAGCAAATGATGTCTTACAAAATTTTTCACCTGGTCCCACTGAACATTAGAGGAGTAATGAGAGAGATAAAAGCTACCTGCAATAACATTTTCCCCCTTTTCAAACATACAAGAGCCTTAATTGTTCTGTAATTAAGTACTGGGTATTATAATCATACAAATTATCATTATGTGCATTTGAAACTTTAGTTTCTAAATCCTAAACTAAATTGGTCTTATTTTCTGCACTTTAATATAAACACAATGTAACTCACATTGTGGAATTAAATGAGTAACAGCTAACTATTGATTGTAGTTGAAAAAATAATATCAAGAGTCATGCCTCTCCTTTGTTAAAGAATGACTAAAACATACACACCCAAATTAGTGACAAGGAAGGCTGCTTGATTTTCGCAAGACTGGGCAGTTGCACTTACCCCGTTTTTGACTCATACGACAGGAGTTAGACAGGCCGGGGAAGATTTTAACTTTTGTGAGGTCAAATAAATGATTCTGTGACGTCAATTGTCATCTGAAATTAGAACAGTTGACAGGTGGAATGCTTCACTGCTAAAAACATGGATTTTCCTGGTAGAGTTGTAGAGATTCTCCACGGCAGATCAGCTTGAATACTTTTATTTCTCCAACTGTTCACATTCTATCTAAATTCATGTATATGTCTCCGTAACTAAAAAGGAAAAACAGACAGAGGACATTGTTTGGCAGATGGTTTTATTCAGGAGGTACGATCCAGATATATTATTCACCCGATTTAATACAAATGACATGGTCCTTCTCATATATCTGCTAAAACAACTAATTTTATCTGTTTATTTGTATGACATTAAAGTCTTTGTATGACATTATAAAACAGGGGGGAGAAGGTGCATTACTCATTCACAAACATTTTCCTTAAAGAGTTTTGCTGTGCACAGCATTAACTGGAGTACAGTGATATCTTTAATTCATCGACACATCTTACTATGAGGAACCATGAGTGTTGCTCCCATCAAATTCTGAGGGAAAAGTGTTGGAATGCTATGTCTGCATGTGGACACTTCATGTAAAAACACATTTAAATAGATCACATAACAGTTTGTTTCATTTTTAACAAACCTGCCAGTGGCCAACATCAAAATGCTGTTTTCAGATTATGTCTAAGATATATAATTTGTTTTCCCCATAAATGTCAGAGGAGGAATATGAAGTCCTTTGGAGACCTGAAAGATTCCAATTAATGAGATCTACCTTATTCCTGTCTTTCTCTCTTTTTCTTCTTCTTTTTGGACTTCTTTCCCTCCAAACCCCCCTCATCCTCTTTAGCTACCTCACCCTCTTCTCTGTGGCTGTTGTGTGTGAGCTCTGACTCTACACTTTCAGTCTCAGTCAGATTGTTTCCACTTAACAGCTCACTTTCTTTGTGCTTTTTGAGCTTTTTCTTCTTCGAGCGGGGCGGCTCTTCGCAGCTCAGCTCCACAACATCTGCAGAGCTAACGTCCTCATTTACGTCCTTGTGGGTTTCTGCCATTTTCCTCTTCTTTTTCTTCCTCGATGACTCCTTTTCCCCGTTTTCTCCATTTTCTCCTGAAATGGGAGCGCTGGACTGCTCTTCAACGACTTCTATATCCTCGGTGGGCTTCTTGCTCTTTTTCTTCTTCTTCTTCTTCTTCTTCCTTCCCGCGTCTTCTGTTTCCTCGCTGCTGCAGACTGGACTAACTTGCTCAGTTGGACCTGATGTCTCTGTGGCCTCTGCCTCTGTAGGATATGTTGCAGTCGGGCCTTGGCGAGCCTTTTTCAGCTGCGCCATTCGCTGGGCAAAGTACTCCTGCATGGTCAGTGTGCTGGTCACCGTTTTGGTGATGGCCTCTGGATCCAGCTCCGACACAGCCGGAGTGGCGCCCTCCTCGCTCTCCCCCTGGGAGTCACTGCTGCTGCTCTCCTGAACCAAACACAAGCACAGGAGAGGACGGTTAGGCCTGACGCACAACACGCACGCAGGACAGCACACAATGGTGTGCCAAGGAGCTTAAGTGATTCCCAGTCACCGCACAAAGACTACCCCGCCAGACATTAATAAGTGAAAAGCCAGAAATAGGATGCCGATGCAACAATAGGTGTTGAAGCTTTAAATCAAGCATTGTCGACGTAACTGTCACATTTCTGACACCCTTCATCCATTCCTTACATTCGTGGTTTCCCCACATCTGGCGCTTTCTTTGCACAGTCAGCTGAAAGCTCCTCTCTAGCTGAGAAACCTGCAGCGGAAACGCCTCGACTTTGGTGTCCAAATCAAACAGAACAGCAAGAAGATTAAAAATAAAAATCAATCCCGAAGGTTGAGCTGTCCCAACAGCTTTACAACGGCCTTGGTAAACCAATTTTCCGCCTGCCTAAAATGGATAACGGAAGTGAAATGGCCCTAATGGGCGACGGCACGGGGTGCTCTTCTGATTTCAACTAGAACGTGCACTGTCCTGATGAGGTGTGCCAGCACTTCTCACACAGTCTGAGACAGTTTGATGTGAATAATGTACAAGAAAACATTTGCGTGATCGGTGAAATCTGCCTAAGATCTTCTCTCCACCTTTTGGGAGACACGTTACAAAGGCTCAACTTTACAGCTGTGAGGCACAACACGGTTCAGGCTTTAACTGAACAATTTGTCACCTCGCCCTTGTGACCCATTTGTCTTCATTTTCCTAATGGCCTACTCAATGCATAATGATTGGTCCAGAAGAATACAGAAGCTCCTCTGGAGAGTCGCACTAAACAATACGGCCGGCGCGGTGTATTATCTCAGATAGTGGAGTGGATGGCATTTTTCACACACTACAGATTAGGGATAAATTGAAAAACATAGCTGAATGGAGTCACCTCGTGGTTTTAAGCTTTTACACTCCGCTTATGTCAGAGCATCTGCAGCAACGGAGACTAACTGAGGGCCATGGAAAACAATGCAGGCTGCAGTTATTAACTTCCTCTTATGGTCGTTGTTGTATCGACTTATTTTAGTGCAGAAACACTTTATTAGGAGCTTGTCTGAATATTATTGTAAAAACAAAATTGTATGGAGTTTAATCTCTCATAGTGGAGAGTATATGTACTTACAATTTTATTCAATTGAATATTTTGGTTTATATGACTATGGTTTGTATTTATGTTCAAATTCAAATATGGATATGTAGTTAAGCTTACACTGATGAATATGCTAATGTTGTTTAGGATTTTACGTTTTGTAATTCCTGTTTACTGGTCAATTTTTGGGGAGGTAATTAATAAATTCATTCATTCATTCACAATATCTGAATTAACTAGCTATAAATGATCACAAGCTATAAAATTGAACACAAGCTAAAAATGAACTCTTCTATAAGCAAACTATGGCTGATCGGGCATGAAGGTGCCATGCACAGCGCATCAACATGTAAAAGAAAAAAAGTGCACTCAACCGGGGATGAAGGGCAACACAGGGGCTCAACAAAGTTTTCTACCATCCAAGACCCCAACTGGAAATAACCACAACTTCTAATAAGAGGGATATGGTCCTGCAGGTGAGACGCCATTAAACAAAACTTTCCAACTTCCCAGAGAAAATCTATAGTCCGTGTTTCTGCACAATGGCATCCTCTCTGCTTGGGAGAGGAAAGATGCGGCTTAGAGCTGACAGCGCCAAACAACATGTAACTGGGATTTGGGAAGATGGCTGGGGGCCACTTTAGAACTGCCTGTGAAATTACTCTCAGGAGAGGGAGAGGGTGAATGAGCGAAAGAAGAAAGAGGGCAGAGTGACTGAGGGAGAAACATCTTCCTCATCATCAGGGAGAGGTGGTTTGGGCTCGGGTTGTGGTTCTTCCTCACTGCCTGGGGATCGCCATTAGACTGTGATCCGACAGCAGGACTGTGATCCGACAGACACACACACACACACACACTGATCCAGTCTGCATTACTGGCAGCCCTGGAGATCTTTTTTGGTGTAGAGTGCGCAGGGCAACATGTTGGGGAAAAAACTATTCTACAGTGAAATGCTGCATTTCCACTTTTCAGTGGAATCTTCCTTCTGGGGCTGGTTATCAGTCATGTGATCAACAGTACAAAGACATCTATAAGAAAAGTGATGAGTCATTTAATAAGTTTATGGAACTGAACAAATATCAACACTTTTAAAATCACTACAACTGCTATGTTTTAATAAAAAAATGTATGTAAATGTTTTCATGTGTGCCAGTAACCAGCCTTCCTTTGGCCAGGTAGTTCACAGGATGCTCTCTTTTTTTTTCAACCAACCGAACGTCAAACAGAAAGAGGAAACATTGATTTTGAGGAAGCGATCGGACGGACAGACGCGGTAGCTCAGACTCAAGGTTGAAAAGATTTACAAATAATATTATTTCCAAAACTTGATGTTTAAAAAAGATGTTCTTGCACGTTTTTCCTTTAGTTCATATTTTCCATCTCTTTGCTTTCGAGTGTCATGACTTTAGAAGAATGATTACAGAAATGGTTTTACAATAATATGGCAATAATAAGCCTCAGGATATATCAAAGTTTATATTATACAAGGTGACACCACTTTGTATCACCTAACAATTGTTTAAAAGTTATTCAAATATCTATACAGATGCCTCAACAATCAAATGATAAAAAAAAAATTTTTTCATTTACCGTATATAAGAGCACAAAAAATCCTTTCTTCACACATCAACCTGATCTAAAAATACAAAACTCCTCAGAACCTTTCAGGGGGATCCAGGCTGTAATATCCAGATTTTTACTCACTCACATTTCCAGCAAAGAACAACCAAGAGTCTTCAAAAATAAATATTTCTTTACCATTATTGCTACAGCATGAAATTCATATGCAGGGAGGGAGAGATTTAAGATTTATTTTCATGAAGTGCTGGGAAAACCTAAATATTATGAAATCTCCATGCAAAGAGAAGCCTCTGCTTAAATCTCAGAAGGGATTCAACTCATTTGCAAAAACTCAGTTTACATAATTGCTGGAACTGAAAAATAATGGCTAAAAAAAGGCAAGGTTGAAGAGTGGAGGTCTGGAGCACACACCTATATCAAGCTGTGTCAACCCCTTCTCCTCCCACACCGCCTCCTCTCCTCCCAGACTAAAAGCCCCAGGAAAAGGATGCGCTCAATGCGCTGTGTGCAGCTCTGAGATAAGACTCCTTCAGCGGAGGAGCGGCCTGGCTGGCTATCGGGCCCTTCCTGCTCCCCTCTCTCCCCTGGCGGGGGCTGGGCAGGGAACACAGGGAGGGTCCACAGAGGGTCCCGGAGAAAAGGAGAGGGTGGGAAGACATTCAACAGGCCGCCTCCTTCAAGACACTCCAGTTCTACCCCCCCCCACTAATGTGGCCAATGGAAAGACGTGTGCCAAGGTGCCAAGATACTGAGGCCAGCACATTCAGCGGGAGGGTACGTCAAGCCAGCAGAGATGACGGAAACGGTCCGCTCCAGTGAATGGAAAACTTTGCTCTTATCAAACGCGGAGGAAAGAGACAAAACACTTGAAAATTCTGGCCATGTTTGACTGATTTGAAGTTGATGTCTGCTCCTATCTAAAGAGCAGCTAAAAGCCTTGAGTCCAACTTCTTGGACAAAAATACAGTTCGCGGTTTAACTTTACGATAAGAGACGACACAGATTAGCAGAAAGGGGTTGTTGTGTTTGAAGTCCACGTGTTTCCCCCCACCATATAATTAACATTAAATGTACATTTCCCCTGTAGACAACCAGAAAGAAGAAAATGAGCATTTACGAAGCTTAGTAAAAATAATAAACCCAGGCTCAACATCATGAAAATTGAGAACATTCCCTGTTTTTTCAGTCATGTTTTTTCTTGTTTGGAACTCACTTGCTTGTGTTTCTATGTGCCATTTGTGCAATAATGCATGAGCAAAGTTTCAAATGCTAAAATCTTAAAATCGTTCCAAAGTTCAGTTCTGGAAAGTTATTAAAACAGGGACATATTAATGAACCGTTTCTAAGGTACACACTCTGCATCTGGGTAATTAGGAGCTGGACTGCAGCTGCCCATTTATTTTCTTAAAAAGCGCCTCTTTGCATTACTCGCTGTTTTTTTTCAATAATTTCTCGCCAATATCGGTTGGGTCTGTAATTGCGTGAATGCGTCCTCATTGTCCTGCCACAATAATAAATTTGGTGATACTTGGGGTCTATGGATCAGGGCCTGATTAGCCAGCTGTCCCTCCCTGATGATCGCACAACCCCAGCAGCCCATCCTTCATGAGCCTGATGTGGGTGGACAGAAAAACAGGTGGAAGCCTCACAGTAGATGCCTCGTTTTCACATCAGGATTTTCCATCTAAATTAAGTCTAAACCTCTAAAAGAAATTTAAAAAAAATGTTTATCATCCTGTTTCTGCACAAATACGGTTGTTCTATTTATTCATTAAAAACTACAAATGATGCCCGTGGGCACATTCAGTGTCACGCGAGGCAGGTGGCTTCCACAAAGCCGTGCGTTAGCTAAAAGCACACATTGTGGGCTGTTTAAACGAAACAAGGGCTCTGAAAAATTACACTTTGTCCCCGGTGCAGGAACGTTTATCATAAGTAACAAATGAAGACAACATTATGCATGCAGCGTGACTGCCCTGTGCTTGTTCAACATCGCAAACGCTTGCTGACAATACCCCCTTCACAAACACTGGGGTCCCTCACCCCAACCCCGGGGAGGGAAGACGCTGTGATTATTTCCCCCCAGCTGTGATTTATTAGATTAAAGAGTCAGTGATGAAGCGGTAGACTGTGACTGTAAACAGCCGAGAGGGCTGGAAATCTTGGGGCGCTTAGCTCCACCGGGCTGTAATTATCCTGTTCCCATATACTGTAGTTTAAGCCTGTAACTAAGAGACAGACGCCGTCCCCCCCCCCTCCTTTTTGTCCAGTGCTAATCCTTAAGTGTCAGAAAGCTGGCACTGCCAGCAGGGAGCAGTCTGCAGTACTGCCAGGGAGGTAAATGGCAAATGTGAGTGTATGGGGACTGGGGGGGTTGGGTCTCCATATTTTTAACAGTAACAGCAGAGTGCATCAACAAATATGCCCAGGCCGGGCAGCGCTTTTGCTCAAGTCACTTAGTCGCTATCTGAAAATCAAATCGGAGCTCCTGGGCTTAACAATGAGCCCCCGTGATTCCCAGGACTGCGCCGGCTCCTTCAAATGGCAGCGGCCGCGCTGCAACAATGCACGTTTACGCCGGCGGGCCCTTTCAGCAGGTCAGCGGCGCAGACTGATGGACAACCAAGACAAAGAGTCAATCCTGGCTTTGGCCCCGCATGTCTGTTTATACAGTTAATTACAGATATGAGGGGGACCCAAGCTCATCATGGGAAATAAATCTGTGTTCTGGATTTAACCACCTACACAAAGCTGCCCGATGCAGAACTTACTTCACTCCCAAAGAAAGCATGCAGAAAAAGGACTATTTCACTATTCAGAAGATAAAGTCAATTCTGTTGAGCCATCTTTTTGCCTTTTTTAAAAATAACCGACCGCAACATGATCAGACGCATCAGTGCGTCACAAATGGCTTCAAATTTTGCTCCAAAAAATCACTTTTGGCTTCTGCGCCATCAGCAAAGTTTTACCACTCGACCCCGCCCACCGGCGCCCTGGCGCTGCGTCTGCCAAATGCTGGAGCGGCCGCCTCTGCTCCGTATTCTTAACGGGGCGGTATCGGGGGAGCCCCCGCTGACGCACGATCCTTCATGTGCACCGAGCGTGGGCAGCATGCACTCGCAACAGGTGCCACCCGATGAGGCCTGATCCAGTGTCCTTTGTGTCTGAGCAGGAGTGGGAGTGGGAGAGGCCGCAGGGGTCACGCTGACCCCAGAGCAGGGCGCCCCATACCCACCGTCTGACTGGAGGCCCAGACGTCAAAACAAGGCCTGCACCGAATTATGCCGAACCATTTTTCTTTCCTGACAACCGAAGGGAGGACCAAACTAATGAGTGGATTGATGGTGGAACGGCTTTAATGTTCGCGGTAGTCAAGTAGAACGCTTAATCCACATAAAACTAAAAAAGCCTGTGGAGGTGGAAGCCATTTCCTAAAATTCCTCTTAACAAGGTCAAAGCGATAAACTACAAATTCAATTCACTGACGCCCCCAAGTCAAAATAAAATGAGTAATGATGGAAAAAAAAAACATCTATGTAATTAAGGCTCATGAAAAGAGGGAAATAATTTCATTTTATATAGTAGAGCTGTAACAATCTGAAGTGGGGCCAAAAACTGAAGTGGTTATACAAGAAAAACAAAAAAAGGACAAAGGATCATTTATAGAAATGCAGAACAGATCAAAACTACATCAAAATTTTCAATTATCTTAGCCCAACCCCCAAAAACAAAAAGAAAGGAGGGACTGCAAAGGAAAAAATAAAACTCTGCTCGTTTCCACCTTACATCTGAGCTGGCAGCTTTAAAAAATGACTAACTTTTGTTGATGTATGAATCGGCGGGGAGTCTATTTATCAGCAGGCCCTCTGCGGTCGCCCGCTTGGGTCCCTCAAGTCACAAGCCGCGTCGCTCCCCTTTGACTGATTAATTAGCCAATCAGAGGACATTTTTCACTGGGCGGCAGAATGGTTTATTTCAGCTAATGCCGGGCTTTCCAGAAGAGGCCCGCTGGAGCCTCGTCGGCTCTTTCGGCCTGCCTGAGTGGCTGGGCAGAGGGGCAAGGGAGATAAATCAAGCCGGGCTGGCCCTCCATGTGGCTCCCCTAACTAAACCCCCTGAGGAGGGCATGGAGAGCAGGGGTGGTGGGGAAGGGGGGGGGGGCAGGACGGCCAGGGGCACTGCTCGCCCGCCGATAAGCACAGGGAGCGCAGCGCTGCCAAAGTGCCTTCATTTAGAAGTGGCCGGGGCTTTTTGATATCTCGGCAGCGAGAGCCTGTCATTTGTCATGCGGTGAGTAATTGTGTTGAGGGGCGCATGAGGAGGCGAGAGATGGAGGAGGCCTGTGAGTGTGGGAAGGATGATGGATAGCAGTAAGTCCAGGTAGATGGACAGGTGTTACGACGCAACCCTCACAGGACAGGGCGTGTAAATAATGGTTTACGCACATGTTTTAAGGTGGTTACAGAGTTCTTGTTGTAACAGTTTTTATTCTGCCGAGTCTCGTGTCAGTAAAATAAAGTTGGGGGCCAGAGATAAATCGGTATGACCTAAATCATCACACATTTTACTAAAAATATATCAAATAACTTTTTCTAAATATCAAAAATACACAAGGAGCTGTTTCCTTATGATCAGGTCATTCTTTTTTTTTTTAAACTGAGGCAGATAAGCACCAAATGAGGTATCTAACATTCATGAGCAGAGGCTTGACATCGACACATAATTAAAGACAGTCAGACAATGTGGGGTAAGAGTTAAGGGGCTAAAGTAAATAATATTTTCTTTTCAGATGTTCTTACATGTTATTTTTAACACATCCAGTTTGCCTTTGATGAGCAGAGGCCTTCTGGACAGTTGGCTGTGTCTGTGTGTGTGTGTGTGTGTGTGTGAGTGTGTGTTTCACCGAGCGTTGTGAGCAGCGATAAGGGCCGAGCAGGAAGCACATCACTGTGGAGGAAGGAAAACTCCCAGCAAAGGGGACTGGTGGATGGGAGGTTGGAGAGACAGCAGCGGGTGGTGGGTGAGGTGCTGGGAGACTCATGGGGAGGTTTTTTTTTGGGGGGGGGGGGGGGGGTTCACGTCTGGAGCAGCCCGTCCAGATTTGGTCGGGCCACCTGGCCTCACCTTGTCAGGATGCAGATGTGTGATAGTGCAATCGGTGGCAGCTACTACAAATCAGCACCGAACCTACCAGAAGCTCAACGATTTGGCCGGAAGTCTGGGGGAATTTGGGAGTACTGCACGGCGGGGAGCAAAGTCTGAGCAGCGAGAAGAGAGGGCGTACATATTATTGGTTGAGAGAGGTCAGTCACAGTGTCGCTGACGAGCTCCCAGATTGGGCAAAACTTTGGCCGAAAACTTGATTAGTCAGTTACCTTTCCCCTTCTCACAACAACCTCGGATGTTGCTGGGATTCAACACAAGGCCGCTAGAGAAGCCATTGTAATTGTATTTGGTGTTTTTCGATATGGTCAACAGTGTCCCTACTGGCTGAAAAACACCAACCCATAACCAAACGATTAAGGAGAAAACGATGGTGTGTGTGCTGCTCGCATTTCCAGTGTCAATCAGCTAGGGAGCGTCTGCCATTGTGACGTTTAGGCTCAGCACCTGTAGGGGACTGGAGAGGGGATGTTTTTGGACATTATATGGATTTTTAAGATGCCAATTTCTTCAAGCCAAATGCTTAAGATAAACAAAGAAAGCCAGCAAGACGCTATTCTGTCCACTGGTGTCCAAAACCATTGTCTTTCTGGCTGTCTGTTGTGGGTCTATTCAAACTTGGGAAAACAAAAAATAAATATTATCACTAAAGAACTACTGCAGCGTCTTTAAGTGCACTAATGGCTTACAGATGATTGTACCGTGCTTTTTGTCATGCTCTAAACACGCAAAAATCTGAAAGACTTGTAACATTGTAATATTTTCTGATACCAGTTTTAGTTGAAAAAAGTGAAAGAAAAATGCCATAACCTCTGAAATCTTCAGAGCAGGCCCACAAACAGGCTTCCCAGGCCGGGGAGGCTTGGGAGCTAACCTAATGTCAACCGGCTGGGTGACGTCTGTAGTGACCAACCACGGATGCCAAGAGCAAAGACAACTTTTTCCTTTTTGCAGTCGTCATCGCTTCAGATTTCTGCTCACCTCTCAACAATTTAGATTTTTCTTTAATAACGCCTGCTGGCACGCTGAACCACCTGATGCAACGCTCGGGGTCAAAAGAAGAAGGGGGAGAAAAAAAGAAGATGAGGGCTTGTGAAGGAAGGGAAGAAGGGGTAAGAGTGTAAATCCCTTAACTGGATTTAGGTGCTCATGCCACCATCAGTAGCCTGTTGGCAGCGTTAAAGCTTTGCACTGTGACATGGCTAATCTCCAGCCAGAGGCTGCTCAGGAGCTGGGCCCTGCAGAGGCAGAGGGATTGCATGATAACCGAGTCACAGATGAGGACATCAGCACTAATGGTCACTTGTAATTACCAAGACGGAGACAGACAAGCTCAAGTCACCTGGCCGGTGCCATCTTCTCAGGGCCGACTTTGACAGGGCTACCAAATGTAATTGTGGGCAACAAAACTCATTTCAAAGTCTTACCTGCTCTTGGTGTTTGGCTGGTCTTGCCCTCTTCCCAAAGATACAGTTAAGGTCTGTTTCACTACGGTTGGACAAGTCCTTTCCTGAAAAGAGGGAGAATTAAAAAAAAAAAAAAAAAAAATTTTAAAAAGGTGTTTTTTGGATTCCACCAGACTTACTACAGAATCAGTGATCTTTTCAACAGGGGGACAAAAAGAAAACTTTTAAACTGAACTTTTTTATTTCAGCAGACATATTAGAAGGTTAGCTGTATTTTGCACTTTCAACACAACAAAACTTCATAAAATCAAATGCATTTGCTCGACCTGTGATGTTGAAAGTGGAACAAAAAAAAAAAGCATATATCTGAGTGTGTTTGTGGGTGTTCGGATAAAACAGCAAAGAAAAATAAACTGGCGATGAGGTCTCCCGCGCCCCGCCTCCGGATTCCCATTTTCAAGCCGGGCCTCAAAGACTCCTGAAGCACGCAGTCGTCTGTCTCAAGCCTGGGTCCTGTTCGTACAGCTGCATCCTCTTCCTCCAGAGGGTCTCTGATAACATTTGGTTATTTATTGCTCTTAAGCCTCTATCGCCCCTGTTCTTGGCTTTGAAAGCCACTGCACATGTACGTCTAAGAAGTTAAACCAAGAAAGAATGCCGAAAAACTGAATAAATGAAACGTGGGGCGGGGGGCTGATTGTCATTTAGTGAATTTGGGGCAGATGTAAAATGATGCCCAATCTGACCTCTCTGCTGTTTGGACGAGGAAGTACCGTCAAATGTTTCTGACTTTTTAAGGTGAAAGTGCCAGAACGATTTTGTGATAAAAGGAGCAGCTCTACTGTTCCCACAGCCACTGCAAAGGTGGATGAACGCCTGTCAGGATGGAGGCGTTCAGGACGGGCGCCGCTCACATCGCGTTGTCGCAGGTTTCGCTTGATATGGCAGGAATTTTAAGCAAAGGCGACGGGTCAAACCGGACTTTCAAGTCCCTGCATGCCTAGCTAATACAGTAATAGCAAATAAAATATCGGAAGATGTTGAGCAATGTCAAATTTAACCACGGAGCTGAGGCTGCCGTCACAAAGAGGGACAGGGAAACGCAATTTTATTAAGCGTCAGATTCCAGAAAATATTATAATTCAACTTTAAGGCAAATGATCTGTTTTGCAGAAACCCCAGGGCCGCAATCAGGCCACCGCAGAGCCGTGGACAGAGGGCTGTAGTTAAATTCTGCATCAACCACCCTGGCTGCCCCGACAGATGATGGATGGAGGCAGCAATTAAAACTGGGTTACTGGTTTATTCTGTGGAGCCTGGACCAAAGCTGCCGAGATTTCAGTTTCCCCACAAACAAAGGCCATCAATCCTCTGCACTAGCAAAGAGGGAGCCGGCACAAACAGGATATCAATAAAAAAAATTTAAAAAATAAAAAAGCAGGAGAGTAAGAAGGAGGCCTGCAATAAGGTGGCCTCCCATTTGGTAGGTTATCTGATTCCCCGGCATTTCATCTCCACGGTACTAAACTAAACTGAGTCTCACAGGATTTATCATCTATGTTTACTGAGATATTAAAATATGGAGTTGGGATGGAATTAAACTGGTGGGCTGAATCCACCTCGTTGACCTTTTTAATGCTCACATCTGATTGTTAGAAGAACTATGAGTGTTACCCGACCTTTTCAGCCTCTCATATAACAAGCTTAGCTCAGGTAAATCTATTACCAAGCCTTAACTTGGCAACAACCTCAAAGTAGGGGACGTTAGCATTAGGACAGCAAGGGAAGCATGCAAAGAGGTGTCTCAGGTTATACATTGCCACGCAACTGCTGGGCTGCCAATGCGACTTATCTCACAAACAGTGAAACGTGTCCTCTCTTCCTTCACAAATCAACACATTTTAAAACTGCCATTCTACATCAATCCTGTCCACTTCTGAAAACAATCTTCTTAAGTTTCTAATGAAGTCACAACTCCTCAACAAGAAAGCACCAACGTCCTTTTTTGTTGCCTGGCGACACCTGCAGCCTAGTTAGGCAGAAACGAGTTAAAGTGGTGTCATATTCCTAGAGACAGTTACATTTACATGACAACAGCCAGAAGTATTAAAGAGGCTTATGCCTGCTCAGGGACAGCTAATGCAGGCGATCAGCGATGAATGGACGCACAAACTTGGGTGTCACAAGTGCCTGCTTTTGTTTGAGGGACTCTTCTGACAACAGTTTTACAAGTGAGACACACACCACCACATTAACAATTCCAACGGACAGCTTGGAGAGGGGACCCGGGGCTGATTAAAATAATGACAGCAGTGCTTGTGATGAGCCACTTTTCTGGAAATGTCTGCCTTCATCCTACATGAACATCCAGTCAAAACATGAGCAAAACATGCAACTACAGTCCCAATAAACTAAAGCAGTTCAATATCCCACACCTAATAAGTGGGCTAAATATTTTCGATTATTTTCATTTAGTGAATTGAAATAATCCTGCAGATTGTATAACATTGTCAGCTCAAGCTGATCACATGATTATGTAACTACTGGAAGAGGCCAAATCCTTAAATTAGTTGGAATAATATTTTCCAATTAACTAAGCTGGCCACAAATCCAAATATATAAAACAAATGTCATGAATTGTGGCATGCATTAGCAGAACGTTATATAGCTGAATGATCCATTACATAAATTTAGAAACGTGGCTTAGACCTGGCATGGAGGGGTTTATAGTCACGTTAACAAACCGATGCAAGGGCACACAATGGGGGGATTTATTTCAGCCAAACTTGGCACTTATTTTTTTAATCACATGCAATTGAAAATGTAGTCAATGAATGTGCAGAGAGAAAAACACCTGGAAGAAAATAATGATGATTTGATAAAAAGTAAAACAAGTGTTCTTGTCATGACCTTTAAGATCTAACCTTAACTCCTTAAATGGTATTTTGTATGGGTGAAGCTTATACATCAGGAAACCTATAAATACATAAATTCTTGCTAAATTAAGACCACAAAAACAGGGTGAGAGGGTATTAAGGAGAGACACGGGTCATGTTCTATCTGACCAGGTCATCTAATAGGTCACAGGAGGTGTTGTTTCTGGGGGGCCCAGTAAATGGAGATACCAGATGCCCCAAACAGGAAACAGGAAGTAGCTATTGAATGACGTAAAATATTAAAGGTTCTTCCAGGTGAGGCAAGAGTTTAGCTACTCTGTTTTGTCCAGTGCGTGCGCTTGATGAAGCAGATCTGAACTTGATGCCATATAATTACAGATTGTGTGTAACACAAACAACAAAAAGAAAAACAGATGTGAATGGACATGAATGAGTAACGGCTAAATACTGGGTGTTCAACACAGGCAACCCAACCATCATCATCAATCTTGCTTTGAAGACGAGCATGCAGGCATGAATCTATGCTGAAATTAACCAAGTCAGCAGTAAAAATAAATAAATAAATAAAAATGGAAATAATGAAAGAAAAAAAAAGGTAGTTCTTGTTGGCCTCCAGGGATTCTGAACAGTAAATTCCTGCTGAAGCCTATCAGTGTACTGGCCTTGACCAGCAAATTTCAACTTCCTGACATGTAAAGAGTAATGAAAGGAGTTGGAGGACTTATAAATAACCTCCCCCTTGCACTCACCGGGTCAACTGACCCAGCACTAGCTAACAGAACTCTGATCAGTGTCTGTGGTCCAAGACAAGAGCACAGGTCTCAATGTGGGGTCAAGGAGGGCGTTTGCATGTGTGGTACGCAGGTGAAGAAAGGGAAACTGTAAGAGCAGACGCACCGCTGTGGGTTATTGCTGGACGGAAAAAAATGCGGTTTTCAAATGGTGATCAAATATTACAGCTAACTTTTATTTTTATTTTTTTTAAATGAACACATTTTCTGTTTACAGGTTTTGCTGAGTTTCTAAGAAGTATTCTCTTGTAGTTTTACAGATCAGTAAAAGGACTGCAGGGCGATGCTGTGGGTGCACGCCGAGTGGCTTTTGAGCCTCACATCATCCACAGAATGTACCCACCTTTAGTGAACTTCATGTAGTGGACCCTCTTTTTGGTGGTCTTGGATTTCTCTTCCAAGCTGAATCCCTTCTGTTCATCTGAAGGAGCCTCTACAGGTATCAAAAGTAAAAAGAGAGGGAAATATAAGGTCACAAAAAATGTCTTTATTCATTAAATCTCTAAACATCCCATACAGCACAGTTGTATGTGATGTGATTTATGGTCCAATGGCAATCATAATGCTTCTTTTGAAAGAGCAATTCTACCCTAACTTTTAGTAAATGTTGAACTGTAGCGCCCTCTACTGCCTAACAGGATGAACCAACCAAGATAACTTGTATACATTCATGGGAAGTTTGAAAGACAAAACCAATAAGAGGTGCTTTACCGGTTTTAACAAATCAAGATGTAACTATTTATCTAGTGCACTGATCACACCGAGTATGAAAACATGTGGTATACACTGGTATGAAGTCATTATCATGGGGGTAATTAATGGACTACACAAAAAATCCAACAGCTGTGAATCAAACGTGTTGAATGGTTCAAATTAAATGTTGGAAATTAAACACAACATAATACCTTTACAATAAGGAGGCTAACCATGCTTTGTGTACATACCAATCTTTTCATTGGTGTTCTGACCATGGTGGTTGTTCAGCTGAGCAAGAAGGTCATTAAATTCATCTTGATGATCAATCCAGTTATCCTGTAAAAAATCATTCATAAATAAGAGGGGGAAAAAAATACTAAAAGATGATAAGTTTTAGCTTGTGTTTTGTAAGTCTGCTTACCTCATGACTGGTATTGGTTCCTAGACCATGATGGTTGTTTTTAACTTTTACTTTTATATGGTCTGTGGATCCTTGCTCACTCCTCCCAAGTCCCTGGGGGGGAAAACATGTTCATGTACATTTTCATCCAGCTTGGAAAATAATAATTGGAAAGAGACATGATTTGCATCAATGCCTTATGATATTTAATACAGATTCAGCTTCAAGTCAAGTTTATTTCTGATTAATTAATTAATTTCTATGTTTATGTTATTGGCGTTTATCATGTTGTAAAATTAAAACGTTCGGTAAGTAAATAAATTCGTGTTAGAGTACAAATATGTAAGGATTAAAATGTAAGATTAATGGAACAACGTTATTCATTGCTAATTACCTTTCCCTTGGACCAGCCCATCCGCTCCAACATCTTCTGGCCAAATTTGGAGTCATCTTTACTCCAGGCGCTATTCCGGGGGTCAACAGACCACTTTTGTTTTCTGCGAGCTGAATTCAAAGCAACATCATTACATAACTGTCTGCCAACCTCAGGTTACAAAAGCAACTCATCATCCACACAATCCACGTGCACAATGTACGAAAAAACACAAAACAAATTAATGGAGTCCATTGTCTTACCAACAACACAGGCTCTTGGATATCAAAATAAGCCCTTGTTATTATGGTTATGGAAAACATTATAACATTTAGCTATGTGTGCTGCAAATTATTTTGCAATTTAACTAGAAATAACTCGAAACAGATTACCGGAAGAAATATGCATGTGTCAATAATGACAAATCAAACTACAAACTATCTACTGACAATCAACTGTAAATAACGTGCAAAGTAGAAGAGAAAGCACGTGTTTAAAAAGCCTGATTGAAATGCTATTGCTAGCTACCGGCGTACCATGACAAGTTAATAAAAACTCAAATCCGAATTTTATTAGGAGGGCAAATTCACGCAGAGGGTATAATTAGACCTGAGCTACATTTAAGCATGGAAAGGTTTTAATGCATTATAAAAATAACACAAAAATCGTGTAGAGTTTGAGAGAGAAATAGACATACGCTCAGCTAGCATTGACATCCTGGGGTCCTTGAACAGTTTGACGCAGGCCGAGGAATATTCCTAGAAATGCCTGAACACAAAATGTAATGATTTTTTTTTTTTTATTTTGATATACCCAGATAAGTTAGGAAAAATACGCCATCTAACAAAATCACTCATCTATAAAAACAAAGGCTTGTTTCCATCTAATTTTAAACTCCGATATAAATTTGATTTGTGCAACATTACCTAATCGTTTTATCCAAAAGATGGCGCTGTAGGCGAGCAATAAGCGCATTTAGTTCTATTTAACATTATACGGTTAAAATGTTTGTCAAACTCTACCGAAACTTTAGAGAGCATTTCCCAAAATAAATGCTATATTTTTCTTATTGAAGTTTATGGTTGGGTGAGTATGCCCTTACCAGCTGGTGTGGTACATATTGTACAGGTCACAATTTCATCCCAGAGTCATTTTAAAGGCTGACAACTGTACAATATTTACACTAAACGTCAAGCACCCAAATTTCAAATGTAAATGAAAGTCACACTTATGTAACTTATACGCTGTATAAGGAAAAGCATGCAAACTTGGCACAGAAACCAGCTTGTACTGTTCCACAGGTTGGCCTGTACTTACAGTGTGCCTTGGCTGATCTCACTTGCATATACTTTCATCTTGGTATATGGGTAATTTCTACTTTTATACAGGTGATTTCACATTAAAGAAGTTGAAATTTCTTTAAGCAGTTTCCAATGGACTCCATTGTGAGAGTGGCTGCTTTGTAGTAAGAACAGATGATGAGACTTAATCTTTTGAAGTTATTTCTGTACTATAAAAGCTTTCTTAGAACTGCAGTCTCACTGGAAAGATAGACACTAGACTTATCCAGAGACAAATATTAACATATTCTGTCTCCAAGATAAAGACTACAAACATTATTAACTCCTGCAAAATATTTCTACACGTATTTCTTGCACCAGAGTATACAGTTATGTCAAATAAATGCAAAAAATAAAACAATGTGTTTCAGATTTTGTGCCATAGATACAAAAATAAGTTTATTTTATGATGTACAGATAATTTAGACATGTCTGATGTATTATGTCAGAAGAAAATAAAGATATTAACTCACTTCCTGAGTTTATTTGTTTACACGGATAAGCAGTTGTTTTTTGTTTTTGATCATGCGTATAAATTGTCAGCCACCATTCTAGAAAAAATGATAAACTCCACACAAAATTGCATGCAACACTGTCTAATTCAATCAAAAATATTTGGGGGATTAAAGGAAACACTTTTCTCCTCATGTGCCGTTCGGATGTCAGATAACACTTCAAGTTGATGCTTAAAACCTTGATCGTGTTATAAATTCTAATCTGAGCCCCAATTTAGATTTGAAGTAACCACCTCAAGCATGGGATTAAAGCAAGGTTGCACAACAGGGGCCAGACAGGGCATGGTCACAGTAAACAATCTTATCGTGATAGGCTCTGCTCCCCTGTGTCCCTGAATTGGATGAAGCAGGTACAGGATATGACTAAACAAATGAATAAAGCTCATTAAAAAGGTTTTTAGTTCCCTTTGAATTAATCTATTTCTTGCAGCGAAGCAACCCGAAACACAACAACACACATTCAAACATCTGACCACTTCGATGGTAACATAACACCTGTGTGAGAAAGAACGAACAGAAAAAACACAGGACTGTACTGTATCAGCAGAGTGAAGGTCTGATACTGTATAAGACTGAATTACTTTACCAGCTAAACACCACTGGAAATCATTAGGCTAAAGGGATAAGTTTGGAAAGGGGTGTCTCTATCACAGCAGTAGAGCCTCATGTTGAAAATCAGCTGTGGAACAAAATGTTATAGCGTTCAGTCCCTCACTTTCTTTCCGTCCCCAGTCAAACATAATCTGCTGCACACACAAAGAATCTTATTACACCATGATGAGCAAAATACAGGGGCTCGTGCGACTGAGGACGCCCGCTGATTGGCTGGTTAGAGTAAGGACTGTAAGAGCATGTACACACCCCTGGGGGACATCTTACATAAGAGCCAAGGTCTCCATTAGCGGAAGGAGAAAGTGAAGGCCTCTTCAAATGTCTTCCTGTTTGCTGCAGTTTCCTTCTGTTTCAACTCACAGAAAACTTTGAATGCGAGAGAAAAGATGAGTGTGATTTACATACAGGTATGCAAAACACAATCTGTATGAGGGAGTATCATGTCATTGACCACACGGACATCTGTCGCTAGGAGCGGGAGGTGTGGTGAAAGCGTGGAATTGATAGCCCATGTGGATATTTCCAAGGCCATCTTTACTTTTAGCTCTTTAAAATCCATAAATGCTTAAAGTCTGTAAAATAATTAGAAGCTTGTTTAGAATGATGGCTTTGAATTTCAGCAAATTACAAAATAAGCAATCAATTTTAGGTTCTGAAGCAGATTTAATTAGAAAATGAGAAGCAACTGTACAATGTAATAGATCTGAATGATCTTCGGGTGCATCCAGCCAGTCAGTCCTCCACCCCCCCCCCTCATTGTTCTAAACACAGAACAAAAGAAGGTCACCCAGAAATGCTGCAATCACTAACAGTGAGGAACCAAAAAAAGGTTATTGAGTCTTTTGTCAAGACCACTGCTGCCTTCAGAGTAAATGTATATAACTCTGGTTTTGTGGGTGAAAAAAAAACATCTCTTGTGGTTTACTTAATTTATGTGCTTAAGACATATTTCTCTGGACTGTCTGACTAGTATCATCTTGTTTATGTCCACCTGTCTACTTGCTGCGTCTGTCCATTTAATTCCGGAGACAATAAAAAAGGACAGAATTGATCAAAAATCAGTTTTGAGGTTTAATGTTCAAGTTGTTGTTTAGACATCAGTGTTGGACTTTATAATAATTTCAGTTTTATTCATTTTGATTAGACAAGATTGTTTTAAATGTATGTCTTTAAACTAAAGTCTCACTTTGCAAAAAGCCAAGTCATGTAGCATCAAACCAATAATTTAGACTTCCATTCCTTCACCTCTTACAGCACATGCCCTCCCCCTTTTTTTTGTCTGCACATGTTCCAAGCAGACGAAGGTGGGGGGAAAAACAGCTAAAAGCCTCCACGTAGACACATCTTAACATTCTTCAGTTGTCATAATCACCAACTGTATATCCAGTGCTATAGACACGTGGACAGCTGAGTTACAGAAAAAAAAGTCTCACCTGCCAAGTGAGGCTTTAAGACTTTTGAATTCTCAATTCAAACTTTTAATTCAGAAAGTCACCACAGACACAGAAAGGATGTATGTGGAAAAAAGAAAAATTTATTTTCAAATTTTGCTCTTAAGAAAGCCAGCCACCATTTACAAAAACTTTCAATTTCTTTCAAAGACATCAAACACTGCCAAGCATAGGTCTAACAAAACTGCAGAAATAAAATTAAATAACAAAAGTGAGAAGGGAAACAGTAACAGAATAAATAATGTTAAGTGGAATAAAAAGAATAAGAATTATATAGAACTACTGAGGTGCTCTCCATTCAGTATGAACCCTCACAGATGATCAGGCTCTGTCTTTTTTTATTCCGTTCTCTTTAAAGTGCATCAGAAATACATCCTGTTTACTTGTTTACCTCTAACTGGATTTTAGCCTCAAGAGCTATAAGCCTCAGTAATTGTATACTGACAATACTTGGAAACCAAGCAGAAAACCGAACAAAAATTCAGTAAAAAGAGTTACGAATGCTATTTTTAAACATTCTCCATTTCTTGAATTGATTTTTTTAAGGAACCCGATAACAAAATGTATGCACTTTCTCAATGATTAAGTCATTTTCTTGTTCATCCTAACAAGTTTTCATGGGCCACCTTGACATATCCAGTACTGCTGTTGGTCTGCCACCAACACACTGCTTTTCATACGAATGTACGAGCAGAAAAATGGAAAAGTGAGCTAAGAACGCACACGCAGCAGAGAGCACGGACGCTTGATAAGTCCGCACTGAGCATTCTGTAGGCGCGCGAGTCTTGCAGCAGACAAGGACAGCCCTTCTCGTTTTACGCCGAGAATTGAGAGAACAACTATGTACAGGCCGAGTTTCTCTATTCTCTTTGGTCTGTTTTTACACTATGTACAAAGGAAAGGCTGACGCAGTATTTCAGTTAACACGAGCCATGCGCGTCTCCACACCAAAGTAGTTCAGCATTGTCTGCACCAGCTCCGGCAGATCGTAATCGTGCTTCCAGCCCCAGTCCTTCCGCGCGTTGGAATCATCGAAGTTCATCGGCCAGCTGTCGGCTGAAATGAAGCAGAGCGTGGAATTTAGCGAAGATATTGGGGACCTGTAAGTTTGGGTCTACGACGATACAAACAGCGAGTGCGAACTGTAAGAGGAAGGCTCACCGATTGCCTGTCGCACATGGTCGACATCGTATGTAACCTCCAGCTCGGGCATCTGCTTCTGAAGCTCCTGGGCCAGCTCCTCGGGGGTGAAACTCATGGCATTGATGTTGTACGTCCTCATGCTCAGAGTGTCCGCTGGAGCCTCCATCACCTCCAGCGTGGCGCGCAGGCAGTCATCGATGTACATCATGGGCAGCCGCGTGTCGGGTCGCAGGTTGCACTCGAACTTTCCGGTTTTGATCGCGTCGTGGAAAATTTGAACGGCGTAGTCTGGTAAGAGACAGAACAAACAATAAGACATGGGTGTTGGCGCCGTTTAGACACGCAAGGTCTCAAATATGAAGGGGAGCGAGTTAGGGGCTTAAAGCAACAAGTCAAGTCCTGCATGAGTTAGACGGTTACATAACAGCCAAGTAATGTGATACAACAACATTTTTCAAAAGTGAAACCTATCACAGCTACTGAGGTCACCATTTCTTCTATTTTCCAATGTCCTCTCATGCTTTGATATACTTGGTGGTTAACTTCAAATATTACAAATGTCCTTTAGAAGGCCTTTATAAGCTTGACATAGAAATATCACGCTGGGATCGATTATCCTTACCTGTCGTGCCGCCTCCAGGCATGGAGTCAGCAGAGATGATTCCTGGGTAGCGAAGACAGCGGAAGTCAAGGCCGTAACGGTGGGAGTAGTACTGTGGAAGGATGCAAACGAAAGACGTCACTCCGGTGACCATTTCTTATGTAGAACTGCCCGACAGGTTTCATTCTTGGAGGATCTCGATTTTGTTGAGTAAACAAAAGTCTGAGCTCTCACCTCGCCCATCAACTCGGCGTGGACTTTGGAAACACCGTAGATGGTGCGAGGTCTCTGCACGCACAGATCTGGCGTTGGGTTGCGGGGGGAGGTGGGACCAAAGGCGCCGATGGTGCTGGGGACAAACAGACGCAGGCCGTGCTCCGCTGCAATGTCCAGGATGTTGTGAAGCCCTGAGAGTGAACAAACAGAGGAATGTTCCAGGAAATAGATAAGTAAATGCATTCTTATCCAACATCGCCAAGTGATGCAGTAACCTTTAGTTATTGTGTAACAAGGCACAGTTATGCACTGGAGTTTAAAATGAGTTCTCTCACCGGTGATGTTAACAGAGCGAGCCAAGGCCACGTTAGCTTCTCCCACCGCGCTGAGCAGGGCGCTGTAGTGGACCAGCCAAGTGATGCGGTTGTTCACCACAATTTCTCGCAGGTTCTTGTAGTCCAGGATGTCCGAGTAAATGAAGGGGCCTGGTGGGAGGAGAAGAGACGGTTTTACATGGGAGCTAAAAATAATTTACTACCGACATGTTTTGCAGCGACTTTCAGGGGTACTCGGCTTCTTTTCAGCTGCTCTGACCTGACCTCCATCCTACGGGGTGGTTAATTTGATGTGACTTAGTCTTAGTGCACACGGAACTGATCCCTCATTTGATTAAAAGCAACTCTGTAGTTGGATTAGCTTTGGCGGAGCAGGTAAACTGCAGACGGAGGCAGAAATGCCAAACATGTGGGAAACAGACCAGTGTCCATTACATCCTCATCTTGATTAAAGTTAATGAGCAGAGGGATATAACTCCAACACAGACGCTAAAATGTTAACAAAATCTGACTTCCCCCTCCAGAGCAAAGCATCACTCGACGATGACCTACGGCTGCAATAACGATAACTGGGATTTCCGAGAGGACGCAACACCCCCCCACATTAAACCAGGTAAAAATTGAAAACGAAAGGAGGGTTAAATAGATGTCAATGAATGATGTCGTTTTCCCCGACACCGCAACCTCGTTGTGAAATGGAAGGATTTCCGACAGGGTGCAGAATTAGTCATGGATTATGTCACAAGAGGAACTTGGAGTTCAGTCACATTGCAGAACAGAAAGTTTTCTGCCTGTGTACTTTACAAATATTAAATACAGCCGTTGCAACAAAGAGAGATTTGACTTCACTCACCGCTGTGATAAACATCACTTGGGGGTTTCCTGATGTCAGACAGAATAACGTTGTTCTTTCCAAACCTCTTCCTGTAAGAGAGTCAGCTTTATTAACTAGACTGTACAATTCACGCATGAAGAGATGCCGGCTGGGGGGCAAAATACACGCAGTGTGATTCAGACGAGTATGAATCCTCACCTCAACAACTTGGCCAGTCCCACTCCAAGCTGCCCCAGGCCACCTGCAAAAAACGATCAGTCACCTCAGGGCACGGTATGCTTTGAATACTGGTTACCACAGAGATTTCACCAACTAAAGAATGGGCCTCAGGAAAATAGGTTAGAGCACTTGAGAACCATTCTTCTCTCCATCTGGCATCCTTTCCTGGTTTCATTGCCAATCGTTTTACAAATCCTGCTGTGCTTAAAGTCACCCCAGAGCACATTTTGTACAAGCTCACAATTTACAGTCTCAATCCTCATTTCTGTTAAGGGAAAAAAAAAACTCCTTTCATGGAGCAATGTGCTCCTCTATGTTTGAAGGTGGCAAACTGCCATAGGCAGATGTTTTCTTACCAGTGATGAGCACTTTGGGGTGGTCAGTTTCTGAGAAAGACACAGAGTGGAAGCTTGCATCCGAGGTGACCTGCCGGGGGGAGAAGCTGATGGTGCGTACGGCCACGGTAAGGGGCTGGCAGCCGCACCCCGGGCTGCTGAGCAGGGCCTGCCTGGCCACCTTGCTGAGGGTTCTGATAAGAGGCATGCTTGTACCTAGAAGATAAGAATGGATAACTTTAAAAAGAAACATTCTCACTTTTAGGCAACAGTAAGCCAAACCTCTTTAAACGACACCAAAATCCAATACGAATAGGAGCTTTTTTTCAATGTATTTGATTGATATTATCCAAGAACCTCTCTAAGCACGTTTACCGGTAAACTGGCCTAAGTTTTGGGTTAACCCGTGGCAACAGAGGCGACACCCGAAGCAGCTACTACACCCCTCACTGCTAATCTCACTTTGACCCGAGTCAGGAAACTGCAAGCAGCTCCAAAATCAGCCACGCCAGCTTTCCTTTTGCTCCTCACCGTGTCAGTTTTTTTTTTTTTTTTTGGGGGGGGGGGGGGTGCAATGCGGCGTCAGCTTGTGGGATTCCAAAGGCGAAGATGATGAGCGGAGCAACACGAGAGCATTTATGCTGCCCTGCCTTCACCGGCAGCCAATCAGCGGCCGAGGGCGTTCAGAGTTCCCCGGAGGAGGAAAGCCGTGCCAAGAACAGGTCGACGTGCGCGGCTTTGGACATATTTTTAGAACGCATTAAGATTCATTTGCTTAGGCTCGTTAATACGAAGTCAAACACAATGTGACACACATCATTTATGCGTTACCGAGAGTGCAATATTGCAACAAATATGACCGTTTTCGAGTCCTAACGCGCCCCTCCTCGATAAGATGTGCCCCTTTTGCCCACGATGGTTGACGCATACGTCTCATTAGCCAGTTGTGTAATAAGCTCCCCCCCCCCCAAAACCCCCCCGCGCGACATGGTGGCACCCCCCGTATTATCATTGAGTTCATCAATGAAAGGAGCGCGAAAAAAGCACAAAGGCAACGCGAGGAGCTCTTTAAAAAGAGCTAAAAACGAACGTGAACAGTAGAACCAACCGGTTTGCAAGACATTTTTTTAAAAGTGTGGACCTGCATGAGGAAGTGAGCGACCCGGAAAAAAAATATTTGAACGGGACTAAAGCAGCAACGTGAGGCCGAGCTGCCCGAGCCGCACACGGGACCGTGAACCCGGCAGACCCCCAGCGAAAAAGCACCGGCTCCTTTGTTCCGCCTGAAAACCCAAAGACTCCATTTCTACCCGCATTTTTTTTTTTTTAGAAAATGCCCGCTACACGTGGCTGAATATGGCAATTCATACCACATCCCAGTGAAAGGTTTATTTAAATAAATTCTGTATTTAGCAGTCGAAGAGTATCTAATCAAATAAATGCAGTTTATGTTGAAAAGTTTACTCACCGGCTAATCGACGGAAGAGAAGCTCGCGCGCGTTGCTCTCGGGTATGAGGTGTTGCTGCTTCGGGCTGCTGCTCCTCCTGCACTGACGTGATGCCTGCGTGTGTTATCTCTTCTCGATGTTGCATCAGCTGCGCCCTCTACTATATATCAGCGGCCATCTGGCCTCCGGAGGAGCCGGCTTTGTCTCGGATTGGTGGAGGCTCGGAGGTGCGGTCCTCCCTCGTAGACCATCCCTCCCTTCCCCTCACCCGGCGAACTGCTGACTTCCCGAACGTGAAGCTCACGGCCCGTGGCCGTGAGCTGGCACAATGTGGCCCAGCGAAAACCTGCCCGGTGTTCAGTGACCGGGGGAACTATGTCTCCGTGTCAGTTGTTATGGGGAAAAAAAAAAGGTGAATGAGTTGAGTTGAACTGAATGTAAAACATCATTCCTGTGTCTTAAACTTGACCCCTTGCGCCAAAGAAAACCCCTCAAATTTGGGCCCACAAGAATACTAGATATTATATTCAGACAGCTGATTCGAAGGGGGCTGTTTGTGAAATCATACTTTTGAAGGAAACATGAGACAAACGCCCTCTGTTTGTCCCCCCGGGTTTGTTTACTGTAGATTGGGGATGAGTCTGACCAAAGAGATCTCAAAGCTGAGTTAATCAGTAAACTGGTGCATTTTAAACTTGATGTTTTATTCTGCTACACAATGGTATGTATCTATCCACTTCTTACAAAAAGAAAGCATGAATATCTTTAAGGTAAGCTCAAATCATTTTAAAGAATCTGAGACAATTGTTGTGCTTTGCGCAGCTGAACTTTAATAACCTCAGTCCTACTTTCACAGTTTCTGGGAAGCGTGACAAGAAAATGACATTTAATGACTGCAAGATGACACAGCGTTCAAACCTTTAAGTTCAGAAAGCACAACTCTTCTCAAATCATAAAAGGGCAGTGCTTCCTTTTAAGCGGGCTATAAGGTCCAGTTTGTGATGAGCATCAGGATTTTCTCATAAATTAGCACCAAGACCAGCACTCAGTGCAACATGAATATGAGGAAAGGTGACGGCTGGACTGTAAACACGGTGGGGGCCATTACGGCCCCTCCATGTAGCAGCTGATCCCTGGCTATTTATTCCTCATCAGATGATTGCTTCGTCACAGCAGCAGGAATACCTGCAGCGAGGTGCTGTTTACCAACCTCTGAGCGAGCCATAACAGGGCAGGGAGGGGATGACTGAATTCCAGCTCTCCCACCGCACATGATGACACTGTAAGAGTCATGTAAAACAAAAAAGCACACCCTCTTCTGTTTCCATGGCCTGTGGCCCTCGGTCAGTCTTAGACTAAGACATCATGTGTTCATGAAAATCTGTTTCCGCACACCAGACCAGGAAGGGTTGGAGACCCATTTCCAAACTATTTTTCGCAAGCAGAACAGATTTGGCCATCGTCCCAGGAGTGGAAGTCTTAGCAGGTTTAACCAAAGGTCAAACTGTGCAATCCTCCACAGAAATGGCAGAAAACATTAAATGCTGCATTTCAGACTCACGGGGATTCAATCACAAGGTGTACTTTTCAAACATTGCTAGTGCGCGGTATGTTTCAATCAGAGTTGAAATCGGGGAATGACTAAAGTACGTTAGTATTACAGAGTATACTTAAAAATAACAAAGTAAAACCTGCAAATGTATGCACTGACATGTGCCTTGCATCTGTGATGTCACACCACTGTAAGAAAGACAAATATTTGTTTGGGGACTGCAAATGTAAAGCCATACTCGTGTCGTCAAGCTTAAGAGATCACTAAGATGGGGTTGAGGCATGGGGATGGTTACAAAGATGTCAACTGCAGTATCACTGTCTCCAGGTGCTTTAATTTACAGCCTAGAAATGTACCTAAAAAAGCCAGTTCACTATAAAACAAGTCAGACGCTAAGGTTCACAAACTTCCCTATTGCTGTTTTTATGTAAAGACGTAGTTCTATTTGTTTTTTTGCATGGTTGAAAAAAAAAAAAAAACTTTTTAAAAACACCAAGTCACTCTTATAAATTCAATTCAAAGTCATCTGAAATGATTCTAAAATGTTAAGTCAGGCTTTCAAAGAGCTGTACAAACATCCCAAAAATTCCAATTCAATTTTTGAACTTTTTTTAATGCTTTGAAAACTTAAAAACATTTAAGTGTTTTGAACAGCAACTGATCACCAGCATTAAAAGCACAGACACATTCAGTATGAGCTCTGGTCCTACAGTAAGACAAAAGTGATCAGCACAGTGGACAGCAGATCCTTTTTTCCCTATAAAGTAACAGTGTATTTAGAGTTCTGCTGATATTTTCATAATGACAAAAAAATCAAATGCCAAGTTAGCCTAAATGTGTACAATCATGAAACTATTACACCTATAATCCAGACTAAATGGCTGTTTTGTTCATGCACAAAGTCACATGGAAAGCTGATCATCCATAATGCAGAAGTTGAACGTACACAAATGTTCATTATTAATTCATTTTTTTGTATTTAACAAAGGTTAAAGTTCTTTAGTGTGATTATTATAACATATTACTCTTTATATTAGATATCTAAACAAGCAAAGATTATGCATTGTATCACTGACTAGCAAGCTAAACTGGTCCAAAGATAAGCAAAGTGCATTCGATTCTACCTATGACCCATTGTTTTGTTTTTTTAGAGTTCTACATAAAAACCTCTAAACTGCATCACCAATGACAGCACAGGCAGATAAAGGGAAAGGAAATAAAGCTTAGTACTGAGCAATAGCAAAAGAGTGTGTTTTTGGATCGGATTCATACACAACTTATTAAACAAATTATGAAATGGAAAATATTCTTAAAAAGTGCATCAGATTTGAATAATAAACACAAAAAAAGGTCAACATAACATATAAAATGGCGGAGATGTTTGGCTCTTAAAGCAACAACAGAATGACCCTTAATATCATTTTGGCACCGTGCCTTCATTAAAGAACTGTATGATTTCATTCTGTAACTTCTGGCCGACTAATGATCCAACAAACCAAGCAAACTCACAATATTTTGATGGGACACACATTAGAAAATCTCCCACGCTGTTGGAGTACAGCGGGTGCTGACCCAGCCTACACGCTCATCTCCACATGCCGCAGTCACGCACTGCCTTATGGCACCTCATATGTTTCCATAGTTACTCGGCAGTACTTCAGTCATGTTTGCATTCAGCAGGGTGAAAATGTGAAATCTGTATTTTTGAATGTCTTATTACAGTGCAACCTGAATGTTAGCAAATACACAAGACAAGGTAAGCGGTTCCCCTCACGTCTGAGGCTGGAAATGAGCGTAAGCGAGTAGTTTGATTCTCTCCAAATCCTGCTAAGTCTGCTGTGACTGAGCCTGGTAAAACACACATTTTACATCCTGTTTAGGATATTTCCAGTCCGTCAAGAACAATGGATTCAATTCAGATTTTAAAACGTTCATTTTCATTATGCTGTCTTTACATAATTGATCAAAATTTTAAGCAGCTGTTCTGATGAATTTTTCTGCTGTTATTTTATTCATTTCTCCCTGTCATTCCCCTCCATCTCGCTAATCTTTGTGGCTCTTTGTCTCCATTTCTACGGTGTATGTAACAGGGGATCTTCGGTTTCCAGTTGGGCCAGCTGTCTGCGCAAGCTGTTTACTTTGGTCTGAAGTTCCTTGTTATATTCAATTATATGCACCATTTCATCATAAGCCTCATCCAAACATTTGGAGGACCGGTTCCAACGTAGGAAGACTCCTGCAACAGAACAGCAGACAAGTGAGTGATCACATAAAAGAACACATAAAACAGTTGAATCCATAATTTCTAAAGCAACTCTTGAGAGAAATCCACCAGCGGCTCAGAGTAGAAGCTAAAAAGAAACTGTCTGTTCTGGCAATTCCCTCCAAATAAAAAAGGTTCCCAGCATATAAGCTTACATACTTTTATCACAGCAGATATCCGATACTGGATCATACTGGCGGGCACAATGCGCTTTGTGATTGAGCTTTATTTTTTGGTCTTTAGATCTTGTACGAAAATCTGATGATATAATCAACACTTTTTTTTTTTTTTTTTAAATTTAGGTGAGAATTTAAGAGGCTTTTCTAACTGGTGCGCTGCATTGTGTAACAGCTTAACACTGTAACCGCCGCGAGGTGACGGGAGGCAGTCCTGAAAAACAGGTGGCACGGAGCGTGGGCCTGCCTACTGTGTAGCCTGACTACAAAGCCCTGTCTTCAGCGACTGGATCGTCACGTTGGATGTTGGGCTCGTAAAGTAACACCTGTCACCACAGAGACTTGCCGCAGGACTGGAATGCGTAGTGCGGCGCGGGGCAGATGCCTTTACAACGCCGCTCGGTTCATTAAACGCTATAAAGCTCATGTTCACTCCAACCTGGTCCAGGTGGAGCGCATCAGTTTGCTCCGATGGGGCCTGGCGCTGTGTGTCTGATGGTGCAGGCACGCCGCCCCCGAGTTCACCTCAGCAGCTGCGGAAAAGCGCTCTTTAGGGCCGTCTTCGGAGGTGACCCTGGGGTGCGTGTCATTTTCAGGGGAGAGTGCTTTGTAAGCAAGATGTCACGTGCTGCGGTCAGCTCTCAAATGACTGGCTCCTCTTCTTTTAGAATGAGGGTGTTAGTCAGGGCCCCGAGGCCGTGAGGGACGCCCCCAGAACAGCGCGTCTGAACCGGGCGACCTCTCATCCACGCAGGGCCGACCTGCCCCCACCTTTTCTTTACTAGTGTCTTGGCATGGATCCCAACCCCCCACCCTAACGTCTTTTAGTCAGAAAGAATTAAATTCCATTACAAGAATCGTATTGTATAAGGTACACCAAAAGAGTTTTATTCCTCAGGGGGCGAGGCAGCGGCAGCAAAAGTCTGAGGAAAGTCTAATAATCTTATCCAGAAAGAGGCTCAGACCAGTATGACAACAGTTTGTCACACTTCCAGCTCAATCCAACGTTTCCCATTTTTATGCCTCCCCCAAATTTTGTCTTTCAGGTTTAAAACAGATGTAATAAATACCTACAACATTTTAGCTTTTTTAATAGCAAATTCTTTAAATATCATTAAGTGATGCTCTAACAGTATTTTGTTCATGTTTTATATCCCAATAAGTAACTCTGACATCTGCAGGGTATTTTTTAACTTCAGTATTTGGACATTAAGATGTTCTGTTGTTCATGAATTCAAAACCTAATGAAAGTCAAAGTCATGATATAGCCCGACAAGTGAATTTGCTGTGTTTAAGCTGTTTTGTCACTCTGTGTTTTCTATAAACAACAAGTAATCAAACATCTTCCTCTTTTGTTTACATCTATGTTGAATACAGCCTTAATATAAAAAAATATTGAAGAACTTTAGGGAATTCACTGTAAAGGCACCGCCCACTCTTATGACTTGCTTGTGTAAGAGCGTTTTGACAGCCAAGTCTGTGAGTGTGCAGCCGGCCTAAGATTAGCTAGAACATGTTTGTTAACTGAGAACTGGTTGTAAAAAGTTCGACACCATCAATCGTCAGGAGCTCAAGTGTCAGTGAGGATATACCTCCCTGAGGATATACAGCCCATAATAAGACAAGTGGGCTGAACACCGACTTGTGGGACGGGTTATGATTGTATACTCAAGTTAGGATGTTAAGCATTTCAAACTGAATCTGATAATTAAAATGTCATAAAATCATATTTCCATACTAATGGACTAACTTGTCAAGAGGAAGGTTACGTTTTAATGAATTTTTAGCTCTGAGCTTAGCATCAACAGGATGACTATTTCCTTTTTCAGAGGGGCGTGTTTTGAGTGCTTGCTGCAGTATTTGCTCGCTGCTCCAAGGGTCACAAGGTTGAATGGTGAACAGCGCCCCCCTCTGGTAAGGTGTCAGACTGCTACAAAATGTAATGTGCAGTTGCAGACGTTTTTCTTAATAGCTGTGTTGGCTCTTAGTGAACCTAGACCTCATAGAGGCATCAGGTCTGGGCTTGCCTCAAATCCAGGCTGACACTCAAAGCACGAATCAAAGCCAGAAAGGACAATGTGAGAATGTGTCCCAGATCTTCTAATGAATCCAAAAAAAAGACTCACTTAAGAAACTCATTCTTAAACTATGTCACATGTTTCATTGACATTCTCCACAGAAAGTGAACATCTATCAATCAAGAGATTAAAATAACCTACAATTGACGTCTGGATGTTAAACATAAAACTATCTTTGTGTGAAACTGCGGCCATCACCAAGTCTTTTGTTGTCGGTGACAGTTTTTCAAACGCCGACTTGACTCCCCTAAAATCGGATCTTAAATCTTTCTTGCTCACTTTCCAGTTATGTGTGTTGTTGTGCTAAATGTTAAGGGTTTTCATTTTTAATCCAAAGAGCATTGGAGTTGACTTTTCACCCCCTAAGAAGGGTTTGAGTCCTTTGATATCTATGATATAACATCTCAGTAATGTTGTTTTCTTCTTACCTTCCCACAGCAGAAGGCTCTGAGGGGCCACAGAGGGCCAGATTACAAGGCTGTTGGCTTCATAGAGCGGGTTGGTCAGGCGCTCCTGCTCCTGTGGCCTGTTAACCCATGACCAAAGGGACACAGTCTTTTCAGGCAGAGACAGTCTGGCTCTGCAAAAAAACAAAAAGAGTGAAAGGTTAACTAACAAGAGGTCAACTCACAAAAAGCAACATAAAAATCAACGTATTTAATGTGTTAATTAAAAGCAACTTTCAAAGGGAAGATTTTTTTTACTAAACCAGCGTCCTGAGGTAGAGGAAGAGGTAGAGGACTAATAACGCACGAGGCTGAATTATGTTTGCTGACGTCCGTCTGCCTGAACGCACCTTTCGGCTGAGCTGTTGCCCAAGAACGTGCCAAACTGGGAGGCATAGGCATGTTCGAAGAGCAGCACCAGGAAGCTTTCGCTGAACTCAAAGGAGCAGGGAAACTGCCGAAGGATCTGCCACACACAGTCCAAAAAGAGCAGGAAGACGGGGGCCTCCAAACGAGGCTTGTTGTTGGAGTAGGCCGACTGGGCGCAGCGCTGATGGAAAGGGTGGCCCGCCTGGAAAGGTGGTCATGAAGAAGGACAGAAAAACAAGAGAGGAGGAGGGGTTAGGCAGGCTAAACAGAAAAACACTAAAAGATCATATAAGGTCATATATCAAAGTCCAGGGGGGCTCACCTGGAGCCACTCTCTCTCCACCAGGCCCTGAAAGCCTTTGATGGTCCGGCAGGCTGGATCAAGGATGATCTGTGCCAAGGAGGTCACCTGCAGGGTGGAGTCTGTCCCTTCTGTTCCGTGCACAAGCACCGACGCTCCCTCCCTGTGACCAATGCAGATTGCAGTTGTTCAGGAGGTGGGCTGGGTTTTTCAGTCACCAGATCAAATCAGCAGAGAAGGGACAAAAAAAACACCGGCCCCTGACCTGTCGATGCACTGCGCCGCCAGACAAGCAGTGGTGAGGATCTCCTTGACGTGAGTCTGCCAGTTGGAGGCCTCCAGCTTGCTCAGCCAGCGGTCCATGCTGTGGGACTGATCATTACAAGCCTCCACAAGCTTAATCAGACTCTCCTGGAGGACATTATACCTGGAAAAGACAGAGATTTCCCAGTGCTAAGTAATTAGTATAAAATGCTGCAGAAAAAATACACTTCCTGTGGCCATTGTGGCTACTCCATTTTAAAATTTCAGCAGTATAACTGTTTTTTGTTTGCCATCTGTAGCGACCGCTGACCTCTCAATGGTCTTGTGGATCCTTCTCCACTGAGGGTAGTTACCCTCAGATTCAAATCCGCCACCCCGAGCTTTGGCCTGCTGGGCAATGTTGATTGAGCGCACATCGATGATGTATCCCCGTTTTCCGGGCCTCAGCGTGGCATTGATAAGCTTCTCGTCCTCCTTGCACCGTCGCCCATTGGTACCCGTCAGGGGCTGCCCTGCTCGCATCATCACCTTGAAAATTGAAGATTTGAGGAATCTTAAAGTACCTATTTATTCTGTTCAAACAGTACACAGAAGAAATGGTACAAGGCGTCCAGTAGGTTATTTTCCTCATGCTCACCATGCCGTTCTTCTTGTGATAATAGCTGAGAACCGGGAAGCGGCCCCCATGGCGGAATGTGGCTACTTTCTTCAGCGAGTCATCATCAATGTCTTTAGGGACTGCCACCAGAGACGGGTATGATGGACACACGCTGAAGTCCTTATTGACTTCACTCAGCCTCCACTCGTCTGTCTGAGAGGGAGCAGTGTCATGCTCAGAGAGGCCATGACAAAGCAATCACAACTATGGTTTCTGTGAATTATGTGCAAACACCACACTCAGAAATTAAAGTGGTTAATAAGACCCATACCATGGACTCCAAATCTTTAAAGACATCCTGTGGAAGAAATGAATTCCATCCATCCTCTATGACCTCAAACATAGGCCGATAGAAGAAAGGGTACATCAGGGAAATGGAATCAAGTGTGGACAGAACCTTGAGAGGAATAGAAAATAAATAAATATATAAACATATAC